TTTTTTTTTTTTTTTTTTTTTTTGGTACCAGGGATTGAATTTGGGACCTTGCACTTGTGAGGCAGGTGGCGGCACCACTGAGCTAAATCCCCTTTAAAAAAATGTTAATGGCTTCATTGATGCATAACTCATACACTACACTTAATTTATTCATTTAAAGTGTATAAGTCAATGACTTTTAGTATAATCATAGAGTTTTACAACCTACATCAAATTTTAGAACATTTTATCACTCCAGAAAAAAAAGCCCATACTCATCTTCCCTCTCCCCTAACCAAGATTTCCCCTACTCCCAACCCTATGCAACTACAAATCTAATTTCTATCTCTGTAGATTTACCTAATCTGGATATTTCATATAAATGGAATTGTATAATATTTAGTCTTCTGTGGCTTCTTTTATTTATCATATCTTCAGGGTTTCGCTAGGTTATAATATGTATCAGTATTTTACTTTTATGACTAAATTATATCTTAGGGTTTCCACATTTTGTTTATCCATTTATTAGTTGTGTTTTGTTTTGTTTTGAGATAGTGTCTCACTGTGCAGTGCAGGCTGGCCTCAAACTTGCAGCGATCCTCCTGCCTCAGCCTCCCAAGTGCTGGGATCACAAGGGCTGTACCACCACATCCAGCTGATATCTGTTCATTTTATTACAGCCATTCTAATGGATGTGGGATGATATCTTATTGTGATTTTAATATATACATTCTTCTGATAGTTAATGAGGTTCAACATGTTTGTGAACTTATTGATCTTTTGTATACCTTATTTGAGAAAGTAACTATTCAATTCCTTTGCCCCCTTTTCAGTTGGGTTATTTGGCTTTTTACTGTTGAGTTATGAGAGTTATGTTGATATGAGAGATATGTTGAGTTATGAGACTCTGACATATCCCTTATCAGATATATATATGGGATTTATGGATATTTCTTCCTTGTAAGTTGTCTTTTCTCTCTTCTCACCACCCCCGTTCCTTTCCCTCCTCTCCTGTGCTTCTCCTCCCCTTCCTCTTCTTCCTCTTCTCTCCTACCTCCTGACAAAAGGCCTTTTCTTCTCTTAGAACTTGTCATCTCCTAGACAGGGTGATAGACACCAAACAAGAAGTTGCAGGTGTTGTCAGCATTTCAAAAGAACTACAGGGGGACAGAGGGTCTGTAATGGAAGGAGGCAGTATAACCTGGAACACTCCCTCACACACGCACACACACACACACACATATATCAAAAAAATGACAGCTATTCTGAAGAATAAATGGGGTAAAATATTCATGCACAGCCCTAATAGGAAAATGAAGCATTAGGCCCAGGTTGTCAAAGCAGGTACTGATGGTAAGTTTTATAATTTTAGAATATGCTCCTCTCACATTTCATTCTGAAAGCCTGAAAATCTACAATGTCAGCATTTCTTTCCATCTGTAAACATTACCTGTTTTTTTCCTGAGTCTTGCTTTGTAGTTCAGGCTGGCCTTGAACTCACTGTGTAGCCCAGGCTGGCCTCAAACCCACAGCAATCCTCCTGCCTCAGCCTGAGTGCTGGAATCACAAGTGTGTGCCACCACCTTGCCCAGTTTAACATTACCTTTTAGAGTGTTAGTGTCCTCCAGGGTAGTCAGAGCCAACAGTAGTCTCACCTCTGTGAAATAATTCACCCTATTGCAAACTGGTTGCAGAGATCATCTGCAGAGAGCAAAATTTTAATAAGGAACAGTAATTTTGAACCTTAAGCATGGAGGAGAGAGGAAGATCTGAGTGGAACTTTTAAATATAGGGATTAGGACCACAGGCTAAAACCTTTGGGCCCCTTGGAGATTAAAAGTCACCTTGGGCACTGAAAGTCACACTAGAAGTGACAGGATCTGCAAAACATTTTGCCTAAAATTGTCTCCACTCTTTTCAGGCCAGTCCCCATGGTTATCCTTCCTCACCCTTGCTTTGGGCAGTCCCCCAGAGTCAAATAACATGGATTAACTCATAAAAATAGCCGCATGTCTTTCTGGTTTACGATGTGGTGAAACCTGCTGTTCTAGAACCTGAATATTACCTTCATGGGTTTATAACAAGGATCAGTGTTGAGAAAGTTGTGAGGGAGAAGGTGATAGTTTCAGGTGAAAGAGGCAGTTAAATGCAAATGCTGCAATCACTGGTGAAAATGAAACAAGGAAATATCGTGCACTTTAAAATGTAGATCCTGTTTAACCTCCTTCAGCCTTTAAATGATAATCAGTTTAAGTTCTCTGACCCACTTTCTCCTTAGACCATTTAGCACCTGGTGCCTCCCTTTCTTGTCTGTGGGATGCTGACACCTTTTTCTCCTCCTCTTATATTGGTGTCCCCAGGCATCCTTGGCTCATTTCTAACTTGGTTCCATCATTGTTCCTGGATCTGCAAGGAGAAGGAACATCAGGACAGAAGCACATGATGGAGGAAAACTGCCCACCAAAGGGCAGCCAGGAAGCAAGAAAAAGGGGATGGGCAGGATACAGCTTTCAAGGCCAATTATCTGAGGACCTGCTTCCTTCAGCTAGGCCCCACCTCAATAGCCTAATAAATTGTTAGCCACTGAATGGGTTAGTCTGTTTGAATGAGATCCCTTGTGGACCCTATCATCTTCTGAAGACCCCATCTCTGAAATTTCATTGATGCCTTTGGGACCAAGCTTTTAACTAACACATGAGCTTTTGGGGGACATTTTAGATCCAAACCATAACAGTGATGTATTCATTTTCTGTTGCTCCTGTATCAAATCACCACAAATAGAGTAGCATAAGGCAATACAAATTTATCTTTCAGCTCTGTATGTTAGAACTCTGACACAGATCTCACTGTGCCAAAATCAGGTTATCTGCAGAGCTGCGGAGTGTCCATTTCTTTGCCTTTCCTATTCTCTAGAAACTGCCTGTGTTCCTTGGCTTATGACCCCTTCTTCTTCAAAGCCAGTAATGTGGCATATCTGACTATAGGTCGTAAAGTTTCTCTGCTTTTAGGGACCCACATGAAAATATTGGGCCTACCTGAATAATCCAGTCTAACCACCCCCATCCCAGGTTCTTTAGCCTTAGCTGCATCTATGAAGCTCCTTTTGTTCCATAAGGCAATGGTATTTGAAGGTTTCAGAGATTGGGGTGTGGACATATTAGGTGGGGAAGGGTGCTATCATTATGCCTTCCATAAATCTCAACCACTGTCATTGTTCTTACTACTAGCATGGGGTGAGGCCTTTTAAAAAAACATGGTGTAGAAAGCATAACTCCTATGCAGTAACTGAGGAATTCATAAAAAGCACTCCTGTATCCCGACTACCCATATTCTAGCCCAGACAGCTCACAAGCACCAGGAAGAAACTTGAAGTTTGACAGAGTCACATTTATTAACTCGTTGCAGTGAGAGGTGCCAGGAAAAGATACAGTTGTAGGATTTTGAAGAAAAGAGTTTCAGTGAAATCTAAAGAAAGCAGTGTTTTGATAGGTGCAGAGTCAAGCGTACTTGCAAGAAGGAGGCAACAGTTGTTCTGATCTTCAAAGTAGACCCAGGTTCATTTCCTTAGAAAGTACAAAGTTAAGACAGTTGGAATACTGTCCTGGGCATGGTGACACACACTTGTAATCCCAGCACTTGGGAGGCTAAAGCAGGAGGATTGTTGTGCGTTCGAGGCCAGCCTTGGCTACGTAGTGAGTTCAAGGCTAGCCCAAAGTACATGGCAAGATCCTGTCTCAAAAAAGAACAAAAATATAAAGAAGTTGAATAATGTGTCCCAAAGACCCTTCCCCAAGGCTCTGGACTGGGTTGATAGTCAAGACGCTTTGCTTCTCAGTGTCAAAGTGACATAGGTCCTCTTGTAATGTTTCATTTTAACTGATAAAATTTCAAACAGTCAAATTTCTAATTAGGGAATAAAGTCTCCCAGTGAGTGAGAAAGCAGTAGTCACAAAGAATGGGTGATTATGACACATTTCAGCTACTGTGTGCTTGGGGAAAAGACTGTTTCATGATAATTTTGTAGCTGGTTCTACTTGTCTGTCCCCACAGCCTAATTCATGGCAGTGCAGCTTTTACCTGTCTTAGTATGAACTGATTCTTATGTTTTCACCCACTTCTTGTCTACTCATAACCAGTCCTGATTAACCTATAGCCTGCCTCCCTCTCTGATTACTTTGAAGTAAACCCCAAATTAGGATAACCTTTACAGCTAGAGACTTAAAGAATTCTGTATATATTGCTTGGATCCCCTAATGCTCAGTAGCTGCAAAACAGTTGCCATCCCCACGCACATGCCCACCACCACCCCTACCTCACCCTAGCCAACAAAACCCATTTATCCTGCTTCTCAGTTGGCTTGGAGTCCTCATTGTCCCTCCTACTTTGCCCCTCTTGCTCTCTCATACTCATTCTCACTGCATTCTGCCTGTTTATCTTGGAAACCTCTCAAATCTTCTCTGTATCACAGTCTTTCTGTAACTAAAGGTGTAAACATTCTAGTTGACTCCCCCTGTAATTAAAGGTGTAAACATTCTAGTTGACTCCCCGACAGTCATATATTCTGCTTCATTCATTCATTCATTTTTGAGACAGAGTCTCACTAAGCATTCCAGGCTGGCCTCAGACTCTTGGCACCTTCCTGCCTCAGCCTCCCAAGTGCTGGGATTACAACATGCATTAGCATGCCTGGGTGCTGCTCCTTTTTTATAGCAGTTATCTGATGACCACGCCTAGGAGTGGCTAGAATGCCCGTTACCACCAGCCCCCACATCAATATGACCAGTAAGTCGTCTTTCTTCAAGTCACCTCAAAAGTGTACAGAAAAACTGTGGTTGCTATCCAGAGGAACAGCTTCAAGTTAGGTCTCCTGCATAGAGGGACTGGAACTGCCACGTTTTTAGAACCTCATCTTCCACCACTTCTGTCATAAGCCCCACCAGACTACCCACGATTCCAGAATAGGTCTTGTACTTCCCACTTGATGAAATGTTTCTCTCCCCCTCCCCTCCCACACCATTTTACCCTGGAAGAACTTCTCATTCTTCCAATACCAAGTCTACTATTCCTCTCTGGAAAGCCCTTTCCTCCCCCTACACAGAAATACTAGTGTGTACTCTTGGAGACCCTGCTTATTAGACTTCTGTCAGATGTGTCATACCTGAGTGAAGTTATTTGAAGACATCGCTTTGATGCCCTTGGCTTTGACCTTAACACAGACCATGTCTGTCACTTAACACACTGCCCTTTTTAAAAAACATATTTAGTCATTGCCTAATACAGATTTGCTAAATAGGAGTGATATGAATGGAGAAACAGTTGCCCTTCCTAAACTTACTGGGCTATGAACTCCATATTCTGATCATTAATTTATGAAGTACTTTCTCTGTGCTAAGTATTATGAGGATGTGCAAGAAAATTAAGGGACCCAGGCCCCATCCTCAAATTGAAGAGAGCTGTTGGATTCCTGCTGTTGCCAGCTATCCTAATGAACACTTTAAATATTAATCTCAACAGTCCTGTGAAGGAGAGAGAAGATCCTAGTGTTAATCAGTGAGGAAATTGAAGCTCAGAGAGGTTCAGTAATTCACATGGAACCCCACCGTAGGTGGTGGTGCTGGAACTCAAACCCAGGACCATCCTGATCCCACAGCCTGTCTGCACAATAACAGACTGCTACGGAAGGGAGAGAATACTAGGTTATTGAGAAACGAAAGCAAGCCTGTATTTCTGTGGCTGCTGTCTGCATTTGTCAGCCTGAGAAGGAATACCTTTTAGTTTTCCAGATAGATGGAAATCGCCAGACGTTCTGGATATGCCTTGGACTACTGGGCCCCCGAGCAGACACAGAGATGCTTTCCACGGCCCATATTCTCTCTTAGCAACTGCATCTTTAGGTCCCTTAGGCACTGGATACTGGAACATACTTGAAAGCTTGGTGAATGCTCTGGAATGCCTTTACAAGTACCTTCCTACTCACTTCCCAGCTCACCATTTACATTACTATCAGGTGATTCTCTCAAAACACCTTTAATCATGTTAATATTCTTCTTTAGAAGGTCAGTTTCCAGATAAAAGTAGCATTTGAATTGGATCCTGGAACAGAAAAAAAGACATTGTGGAAAAACTAATGAAATCCAAATTAGGTCAGGAGTTTAGTAATAGTAACATGCCAGTGTGGGCTTAGTTTTTGACAAGTGTACCCTGTAATGTAAGATACTAGCTTTAGGGGAAACTGAGGTATGTGGAAATTGCTATCTTTGCAATTTTTCTATAAATCCAAAACTATCTCAAAATAAAAATTCACTTAAAAAAATGTTGATGTGCTTTACAGGTTCCCTCATTACCTAGGCTTTTGGGACCTCCAGCCCTGTCTTCTCGCCTATGAGAGAAACCTCTGTTCTAGCTACATGGTTCTACTTCTGTCCTTTGGACAAAGTCTGTGCTCTCCTAGTCCCTGCATGTGCCTGGCTGTGTATGTACCCTGCTGGATTGATACTCCACCAAAGAGTTAGTCATGGTCCTTCTCTGCCAACAAGTTACTGTTACCCTAATGAAGCTTAAATTTTCAAGGCTTGTCATTTGCAAGTCCAGGAGTGTCCACCATGACAGTCACGAAAATTTGATCTCCCTGTAACTACTGTTGCTGTCACAGAAGGTTTGTTATGACCAAGATTCTGGCAGGTATGTCTGAAAATGAAAAGGGCCACACACACACACATTTAGAGCAGTTATGCAAACAACATGGGAAGGCTATACTCATCACTGGGGCTATTCCCAAGGAATGTTGGGTGGCTATGGGGAAAACCCTGTGTTCTCTGTATCAGTGATGACCCCATCATCCCTCTGGCCTCCTTAGGTAGGAGCCTCTCACTCATTCCAGACTCCCAATTAATTCTGTCCTGCTACCATACCCCATAATATTTATCAGAGCTGTCTGCTCTCCTGCCTCCTCTCCTGAACCAGGTTCTCAGTTTCTCTGTCCCTTCTGTGACTCTTCAAAGCCCTGCTCTATGGAGCAGCCACACAGCTCTTTAGCATACTGACTTCACGGGGCCACCAGATGCCTCTAGAACATGCCTAGGGCTTCCAGGCACCCTGAGCAGGCACTTACCTTCCCAGCCTACTATTGAAGTGTGTATCAAACCATCATCTTTCTTCTGCATTGCTTGCTACTCACATTGCATTTGCTTATGTCTCCCTCCTGGAATGCCCTTCATCCTCTCAGCCTGCCTTTATCAGCAGTTGCCATCTGCAGGAAGTCTCTGCCAACTCCCACCCCGCTGGCTTAGGTGCCCTACTTGGTGCTCCACTGGAATGCAACCATCTTACTGTAGCGCTGACAGCATTGCACTGCAATGATTGCTTTCCCTGTCTCTACTAGAACACAGAATACATCTAATCCTGTTTGTACCTCAGTACGTGGTACATGGGAATGAGTAATCCAGTAAGCACTGGAGGAATAGAAGAAAGAAAGGAGAAAAGAGGAAGTAGGCTGAGCCTGAGATGGGCCCCTTGCTTTAAGCAATGAAATGTTTGCTACAGCCTTACCCCTTTATGCTGTCATCAACATGCTATAGAGTGGCTGAGTCCCACGTCAGAGTCCCTTAGGCCCCTGTGTAGCCTCTCTGCCCCTGGAATCATTACTGTGAGATCCTTAGAAAGAATAGTAGAAATTCAAGAGACGGTGAACCCTTTGATTC